TATATTAAAAAAAAAAAAAAAAAACAAATTAAATTTTTTTTTTTTTTTAATATGTTTGAAAAATCCACGATGCACTGAAGCCGTGATAAACGAACCCTGAAATAGCGAGGGATCACTGTATTAATACCTGTGTATAGTACGACCACCCGATTTGGGATAATTTTTTGTGGGGAAAAAAAATGTGTCTTATGTATGTGTCCGGAGCATTTGGTGTTACCATTTGACAGTCCTGTCACGTTTTGCGTGGTGGTATTCAGAGTAGGACCCCAAAAAGCAAGGAGGCAGGGAGGACTCAGGAGCAGAGTGGATTGACCAAAATGTATATTTAACAAAAAATACACACAGGAGTACAATGGAAAAAACACTAAGTCGAAATACGGTACTCAAAAAAATGCCTGGAAATCACAACTATCAAACAAAACTATAACAGGAAACAAAACATGACAGGAGCACACGTATGCTCACATACTCACAGCTCACAATGACCCAACAAAGACTGACAGAAACTCAGGGAACTAAATACAAGCTAAGTGACGAGACAACGAGAAACACCCGGACAAGACACAAAGGGTTAAGGGAGCTAATTGGTACACACAAGGGACACTGATAACGACAACAGGTGGCGAAAAAAGGGCACATGAGGAATCAAAACCAAACGTAACCAGACTGAAACATAACAAGTCCCTCTGACTATTCACCATAAAAATGTGAGTCCAAGGGCCTGTTCATCACATTCACTTGGAATCAGAAAGCTTTTCATCTTAGTTCACTTTCACTCAAGATGACTCCAATTCAAATTTAATCCCAGAAACAAACCCGGAAAACGGTAATAATTATTATTATTATTTTTTGTCTATTAACGGGGTGCCGAAATTCAACACCTCACTTTTGTATATCGTGCCACAGTGCAGAGTTATGCACAATGAACTACAGTCCACACTAATTAACACGATTGCAAAAAATAATCACATTAACTTATTTGGTCACAGTAAATCACACGTTCTGCAATAACGTGAGGCCACGTGCGGATCAGCTACAATCAATTGCAGTACAGCAGCAGGGGGTTGGGCGCACGCCGATTCGGACGACGCCAGTCGTCTGCGTAAGGGAGCTTGGCAGCGACTAACGATTGTGAATCACTGGTCCCCCGACCTGTCGCATCCATTGTTAGCATGACAGACTGGAGCCATCCTAATGTCGACTGCAGCACTTTGCCTGGGGTTATCTCACTGTGGCAGAGCAACAGAGGCGCGATCGGCCCTTTAATTCTCACATGACATACAAAAACTGTGAATGTACAATAGCGCTCAGACATATAGAAGCAGCTTGGGTTGAGGGCACTGCGAAATTGCTCCAATGGTAGAAAGCTGAGAAAGGCAATCATCATGATGTTTCATCAGACAGGGCGTTCTGAGCTGTCTTGTTCTGGAAATCCACCCCCAAATCAACCTTGGTGGTTCGGGGCATGAAACAAGAGGTTTACGTACGAAAACAGGCTGCTACGTATGATCGGTTACTGATGTCGTTGTCTTTAGACTCGGTGAAGCAGGACAATCCCAACTTCTTTGGAATTCACCCTTCTAAGTCACCTTAAGCAATTGTATATTCATTCATTCATCTTCCGAACCCCTTCATCCTCACTCGGGTCGCGGGGGGTGCTGGAGCCTATCCCAACTGGTTGCCAGCCAATCGCAAGCAATTGTATATTTGGCAGCTTTATTCCAAGTACTTGAAGATTCGGCTCTTGCAAGTCCAGCCTTTGTAACCGCTCCTCTTCCTTGGATATCCATTACAAGGTAGGCGGCTTCGGGATTAGGTTTTTAGAGAGTGTCGGGAAAGGATTAGAGCAGGGGTGGACAATTCCGGTCCGTGAGAACCAATATGGAGTGTTCCGACACACCCGATTCAAACGAGCAGCTCATCTGCAAGCTCTGCAGAAGCTGGATAATGATCCAGATCATTTGAATCAGGTGTAGGAAGACATACAATGCATCCAGGATACCAGTCTTCGGGAATGGCTGGATTATAGGATGATGGTAGACCACCCCCAATATCTTGTCCTGCCACAAATTCAGCCTTGTACTTTGCATAGCAACCATGTTAAACTTTCATGAGAACAACCTTTAGTGCATCCTGCACTAAGCAGTGCCCTGGTGCGCATTCATGTCCCTGCTGGACGTGGAGTCGATGTGGAGGTGAAAAGCTCAAACGTTCCAATGCTTAAAATGTACACAAACCCGTAACGAAGCAGCCTTGAGGAAACGTGGCAATATAGCTGTTTGGCAATAGTTAAAGCCCAGGGTTTTTAAACCCTCGAGAGGCCTCACTCAAGCTGCATAAATATTTGAACATTTACTATTGATGGGGAACATCACATGGGGGGAGGAAAGAGCTGGCTTCTGTTCAAATATTAATGATGCTTTCCAAAACATAAACATTAAGACGGAATTCCAATGTAAGCCACCTGCTTCAAAGCACCGCGGCAAAGCTGCTGTTGATACAGAGATGTAACTGTCTCTCTCTTTAGAGTGCATGACTCATAAAAAAACAGCCTGTTAGAGGCGACAGAAAGCACTTTACGCCAACACGGCTGTCTCATTTCACCGAAGAAAGACTACATTTTAGCCAGTCTCAACGCAAGGAATGGAAAAAAAACAATTGGTCTCTCTGCAAAAAGGCTTCAGGAAGCCACGAGAAAGTGAACCATGTCGACAAAGCAACCGGACAGGACCAGGAACTAATGGGATGAACTAAATGGTGAATGCAAATTTATTTATTTATTTATTACATTCTGAGGCTGGATTTGCGCTTAAGTGTTTGAACAAATGCTGCAACAGAGAGGGGGTAGGAATTCACAGTAAAGAATAAATTCCTTAACAATAGCTCGCTAGCTAGCTAGCTAGATAGATACATAGAAACTAGCTAGTTAGCTAGCAAGCTAAAGACAGAGACAAACAGACAGATAGCTAGGGAGTTAGCAAGACAGACAGACAGACAGACAGACAGATTATTGACCCATCAGGAAAAACAAAACCTCTAAATCTAAAAATATTACCAAACACAAACAATGTTCCAGTCACTTCGCTGGCATAACCAAAACATTTGGTGAATGGCTCCCCTCCCTAATCTACCTTGTTTTCAACGTTTCTCTGAGGACACAGCCACTGCCGCCTACTCCTGCGGCATGACTTTATCCACACCCCCGCCCAATCCGTTTTTTTTTTTTTTTTTATCCTATCACAAAGACATGCCCGCTTCTCAGCAACATTCAATCAAGCATGAACTGCAAATTTGATTTAGGACTGCAATTTCATTAGCCGCATATTTTTCAACAAAACATCACCCGGCCCGGTCGCTCACACTTCATCAACATTGTTGCCACTCCTATTTTATCTGCCCTCTCCTTTTTTGGACTCAACCAACCTTGAAAAACCAACAGACGATGTACACAAGTGCTCATTTGGTTTGAAGGCATAAGAAGGCTGGGAAGTCAATGAAGCCGGAGGCTGCAAATCTCTGGCAAAGCACAAACGAGAAGTTAAAAAAAAAAAGAAAAAAGAATTTGCCTCAGGTAGCTACTGATTATTTCCTAAATATTACTACTTGCTATTTTCCAGAGTGATTTGCTCCACATTACTAGCTCCCCATCAGGAAAACAACTAAAGTCTCTCCATAATTTATACAGGCTACTTACAAAAGCTTTCACAACTGAATGGTTTTCAACTTGAAAAGCATTTGCCATATAATCTGGCGCATCCAGACTGCAGAAAAGATGAATTTTGAAGATGTTATTTTCAGTAAATTACGGTTCTCACAAGATTTCTTCCACCTGCTTGAATTCAATTGTTCTAAGCGTCACAACGTGACCCAGATTGACATCACGTCTCGAGACTCCTGCAAGAATTGGCCACAGCTACATGTCTGCTCTGTTCTGCTTAAACAGCAGAAAATCCCATTTCACGGTATGAGGGTAGAAAAATTTAAAAAGATTGATATGCTGTACGTGTTGCATGCTTTATTACTGGGAAGAAAATCAGATACCTTTTTTTTGGCACTCCAATAAAAAAATAACTTTAGCAAAATGTAACGACATCACAGTACAATTTCTTAAAAATCATTGAAAATGCCATTATTGAGCCCACATTTACATATCTTTAAACAATTAATGGTATGTTGAGAAATAAAATTATCTGGATTTTTTTCAATTCATGTAGTCTACTTAAAAAAATACCTGGATTGAGATGATATTATTTCTTATATATATATATATATATATATATATATATATTATATTATATTATTTCTTTTATATATATATATTTTTTAATTTTTTTTTTTAAGTGGATGTATAATCTACTTAAATAATTGCCTGATGATTTTATTAAAATAACTTATTACTTGTACTTCTTAGATACAGATTGTGAGTTATTTTGCCGACTCTGACGTGCTCCGTTTAAACACGACTTTTGCCACTCCGGTTCCACCACTTGCATTTAGTGTTCCTGCCTCTCACCGATCCGTCCAGTAAAAATACTTGTCACATCAGTGTCTCAGTACTTCATCGGCGAGCGCCTCTGTCATCGGAACACTGGGGAAGGCCCACCTTAGCGGCTCCTATTTCCAGCTGTCATCATTTCCCTCCTTAGGACCGTGTCAGAACACGGCCAGGCGGCTCATTGGGGAGCAATGCGATCGTAAACGCCTCCCTCTTCCCCGTTTGATTGGTGCTGGCGGGTCATAACTGACAGCGCGCCAGTGAGGATGCGCCATGCTGTTATGCGTTAGCTCACCTTCCACCAACTGACTGGGGGTTTACGTCCGTAAAACACGTGCGGAGCATTTGTTCCCATTTCCATCCTCCCAACAGGACAAAGTGAGACGCCAACTGGTATAAATAAGTAAATAAATAACTAACTAAATAAATAAACCATTTATCCTGGGAGGCTGAAAATTACCGAAGAATGGAGAGGGAACGGGTATCAGGTGTTTTTTTTTTTCTTCTTTTTTTCTTTGCAGGGTGGTATTGTTGGAATGAATGGCTGTTTCTCAGCAGGCAACGTTTTGCTCTTATTTTGATGATATTTCGATTCGTTGTTCCGTACCTTTTTGTTAGGAATAGCAAAAAAAAAAAAAAAAAAAAAAAAACATCCATTTTCTGCACAGTACAAATGCTCTGGCAAGCTTCTCCGGTCTTTTCCATGGTAACCTTTATCCAATGTCCTTTCAGCTATGTGTTAATTATGAGAGCACCTGCTTGTTAAGTAAAAATGTGCACGTCACTGGTGTGTCTTTTCGTGAAATGCATTGCTCATTGTCGTAGTGAGCAGCCGCATCCTTCTCTGCGGTTCCTTTCATTTGCCAAGGGAAAAAAAACTCAAAACATATTTGTGAAGTTAATCCTTCAGGGCTGTCAACCTTTTTTTTTTTTTTTGTCATTGTGGGACACGTGCAAGTGATCCTTGGCCTCGTGGGGCCTGTTATAATGGCGAAAGCATCACCAAGAAAGTCACGGTATGTCACATGTTTCCGTGGGGCCTGTTATAATGGCGAAAGCATCACCAAGAAAGTCACGGTATGTCACAAATCATGTTTTTGTTTGTACAATGGTTCAAAGTTCAGGGCTCAGGAAGCTGTGTTTGCACCCACCGTTATTGTTATGATGATTATTATTATGAACATATTGGTGGCCATGACATCTGCTCGCTAGGAATTGATTTGCGCAGCTTGTTTATGGACTCGGTGTGTGACTAGGGCACAGGGCAGATAGACTTATTTTCCTGTACCTCTCTCAAACAATCATACATTTGAAATGTTTTTTTTGAGGGGGGGGACTTGAACTCCTAATTCTCCCGCTCAAGGTTTGAGGTGGACTCGAGAGGCTCCACGGCGCCGAGGTCTTACCTATAGGAGACAGTTCGGCCACGCTGCCGATGTACGGCCCCTCCAAGAACTTGGGCTCGCTGTCGTTGATGTCTTGGACCTTGATGACAAACTCCGACTCTGGTTCCAGCGGGTCGTTACTGAGCCTATCGCGGGCCTGCGCCCGCAGCGTGTAGAAGGCCTTCTCCTCGCGGTCCAGCCTCTCCGTGGCGTGGATGTCGCCCGTCAGCTCGTCGATGATGAAGATGGTGCCCGCCCCTTCTCCAGAGATGGTGTATTTGATGTTACCCTCGCCTTCGTCGGAGTCGGTGTGAATCTGGAAGCCAATGAAGGAATACGAGCGGTTTGTCATGGATTGAGAAGTGTAAAAAGAGCTTCCGCACCTGCATATTCTCAGTTCGCAATTCAAAAATTCATTGTCTTGCTTTTTATTTATTTTTTCCCCCTGTGGAGGAGCCCCTCTTTAGCTGTTGTCTAAAAGCCTATTCACATGTTTTATGGTCGTTCTAGAATGCCCTCGAGTGCCACAAGGATCCACCAAATCCCTGACTAATTTCGGTTGAAGTACCACAAACGAAACAAAGAGCAGTATCAGTAACGGAGTTGTTCAAAGTGCCAAATCTGGAGCAAACAAACAAAAAAAAAAATGTCATCCAAGTCGTACTCATGAAAAACCTTGAACCGTATCAAGATCAAACTTGATCTCTATTTCAATTCAAAGGCTCAAAGTGAGAGCAAGTTTCTCCGGCCCAATTCTTGTCATCTTGGCCCCGTTATCGCAATCAAAGTCTTAATGTCATCCACGGGCTCGGTTCACCCGTCATCATTTGGAATGTGACAAAAGACCGCGCTCCTGGTGGTAATTCACACCTTTTCTGCAAAGGACGGCTCTCCCGAACGAGATGTTCAAAGTCATTCCGGCAATTGTTAAAGGTAGACGAAATGAAAGAGTCCTTATAAATCAGACCAATAGTTTCCCCCTAATGTGATTGGATGTTCAGACGCTCTCCAGGCAGCAATAGCCGGACGCTGTGAGGTTCCTAAATTTAACTTAATAAGAACCTCTCGCACTTGCTATGCAATTTTGTAACGTGAACCGCATGAAGGTAATATTGTGAATGAGAGGCCGCCGTTTGACCCGCGAGATGAAGATAGCGGTATGGAAAGTAACAGTGGGTAAAGATGTGAAGCGTCTGGCTCTCGCAGCATTCCCAAAGGAAATCACATGCAGGGGAACGTGCGTGAAATGGCGTCACCGCGCGTTAATTCAATTGCACAAAGGCCGGCACCGTGCATGCGTGCAACTTTCTGCAACCTGCATACGAGTACTGCCAAACCACACACACACACACGCAAACTTACACACTTAGCAAAATGTTACGCTCCAATCTGAAGGTCAAAGCCAAGAAATGATTTCGTAGACATAAAATGAAGTTGCGCCGACAGGTCTTCATCCAGCTTCTTTCTTTCTTTTCGTTTTCATACCCACCAAAAAAGTAGAAAAAACACTCAAGCACACATCTTTCTGAAATATGAAGGCCAAGCAACAATAACAGGGTGGAAAAGTGTCCAAACCCCAAAAAGAAATCCTCCATTTGCCCATCAAACTGTTGCAGGTGGAGAAGTGGTTTCTTCTTCCTAGCCAAAGGAAACAAGAGCTTTCTTCCAAGTTTGTCCCACTTTTACAAAGGCATCAAAATGCACACGGACAGCCTTGTGCCCACGCAGCTGCAAAAAAAAAAAAAAAAAAAAAAGACGCAGGGCAGCTGCGCAATGCTGCAAACAATATCAACCCTTACGGAACCTTCAAGAAAACTGCTGTATTCCTAATTATTTTTCACTTTTGAAATGACTCGATAATTTAAAACTACTTCAGCCTGGAATACATATCGGACATAAAATTCTGGGCATTTGAATCCTTTTTATGGACAGCGTGTTGACAAGACTCAACATTTTATTTTTTTTTGTTTTGAAAAATAACTTCAAGAAAACATATTTTCATGTAAGATAGTTCAAGTAATTTCATTTTTTGTAGCTAACCTGACACTAGGGTTCCTGGTGACACCAAAATATCCATGAATCCAATCCACGCCTTTTGTCATGGAATTTCAATTTTGGAAACTGGGTTTTAATTTTGCTTTCTTTCCTTTTAATTTTTCCACCAGACGGCACTAGCTTTTTTTGTTTCACAGCGAGAATTTTAAACCTTTTAATTATTTATTATTTATTATTTGCTGCCAGGATGCATATATATATATAAGGCATATGATATATAAGTGTACTTGCAGAGATGGACTGTTCCTTCCTCTTTTTCATATTTTCAATTTCGTATTTCTTTTGGAATAATATTTATACACTATCTGATCGGTCCTGATTTGCATGTTTAAAATCCTCATCGCTAAAAAAAAACCCTCCAAAAAACTGCGATGGGCTGACAACCGGTTCAGGATGTCCCGCGACCCTTGTGAGGATAAATTTGATCAGAAAATAGATGGAGGGATGGAAAATCATTTAGAATTACTCTGCTCAATAAATAATTATCCTTTTCGGCCCATTACCGAATGTATGCCTTGAGATTCGGACCCCAATGTGAATGAGTATGACACCCCTGCAAGTTGAAACTCGTAATGAAACGAACCGTATGCATTTGCGAGTGTGACTTTGCCGAGTTTTTGTGATTCGTCTCGGTTTTGAGTTTAACTTCATGCGCGGAATATAAACGGGAGACGCCCATGGCTTTCCTGTGGGGCACTGCAGGGAAGCTGCTAATTCCCTGTCAGTTTTCTCTTTGGCAACCAGCCACGCAGGCAGCCTGCTCAATTATGCCCCCCCCCCAAAAAAAAGAAACACACAAAAATTGCTCAACACAAAAAGCAAAACAAACATTTGAAAACCATATTTGCGATGCCCAGAACCGATGTTGCATGTTTCTGCACGGACATTTGTTGCTGTGGATGCTTGGACGCACAGTGCACTCCAATGGCAACACAAATATTCATCGATGGATGATGGCCGGGATTTAGGGTTGTTTTTAATCCTCAATTCCCGGAGTAATCGATCAAATAATTGATTAAAAAGAACAGTTGTGACAGCCCTGGTAAATATAGTAAAATAAAACCTATACTGAAACAACTTAAAATATATCGCACATAAAAATAATAATCATATGTAGCTCTGCACCTCATCAAACACCCTCAAGATTGACTCAAAGAGAGACTGCAAAAAGTCAACATCACCTCACAAATTGCCCCACATTTCCACAGGCACATTCTGGAAAGTTTCCCCAAAAGACGGAGAGCTGCACCACCTGCTTTACACGTGTTTCTATTCAAATTGGCATCCCCATTGTTGCACCACTACTTACTTTGCCCACGCTTGAAGCTACTTCAGAATAATTGAAATTATATTTTCAGGAATTCCGAGCGAGCGGAGGCGGTCGGGGCTTGAGCTCTTCTGCCTACTTGGTTTACGGAGAGCGTCAAAGAGGCAACAAATTGGCTGTCTCATATTTAAGTCTGTGTCATGAGGAGGAGGAGGAGGAGGAGGAGGAGGCCCTGCCACATTTGGCTGCCGCTTGTCAGTCCCTCAGATCTCCGCCGCTTCAAAGTGTTAACAAAGTGACTATCAGACGCAGCAGGGGTGGAAACCGCTGCAGGGGAGCCAAATGGCGAGGAGAGGTGGCAGACAACTGGACGAGGCGACAATAAATACGAGCAAAGTGAGCGCAAGGGTTAAGAAAAGAAAAAAAAAACCACCAAAAAAAAAATTTAAATTGTTTGAATGTGGCAAGGACATAGACTTGAGAAGTTTAGATGATGAAGTGAAGAACATCCAAAGGCGCAAGTGACCGTTCAGCGGAACCCCGAATAATTTCCACCCAATGAACTCGATGGGGTGACGCATTGCTGATTGAGCAGACCGGCGGCGTCTCTAACACGCTGCTGTATTTTTTTCTTTTTTGTATTTTATCTTTTAATATTCTGTGTCAACCGGACACACGACAGCGATGGTGATGTATTACAAATGACAGTCAAGAAAGGACCCGTTACACGTAGCCAAGGGCACATCAGACACATTTTTCTTTGACCTAGCATGTCATATGCTAGCTAATGCTACGGCTGAGCCTTATGTGATGTATTTGTGATGAACAACTGAATTACTCAATACAAGCATCAATGGAACATGGGTTGACAATTGTGTACGTGCTAGATGCAGGGGGTTGATGCTTGACTTGTTATTGTGCCACGGTCATGTCGTTCTGAACAACAGGTCATAAATCAATCCAAACAGGATTTTTTTCAACATTTCAAGTGCTTTGCCACCATCTTGTGGTATCAATAGGCAACTATAAACCCCATTTCAGAGGGTATCAATGTTTGCTATTCACTGCGGGGCTTGGCCCATATCACCAAAAATTAGTGGGTCACTTTGATCCGTACCAGAAGAACCAAAAAAAAAAAAAACAAGAACATATTCCACTCCAGCAACATTGTGAACTGTGTAAAATACACAAAAGCCAACACGTGTCAAGGCAGTCAAACATTTAACACAAAGTCTACAGTTGATCTCTGTTGACAATACCTTTTCATTTGGAGTAAGTGTCACCACAGAAAGGCAGTATACTAAAAGAAAACGTATCGTAAATTAGCCATTGCTCGCTGAACTGAGGTCTCTGATTGAGATAGACTAATATGTGATGATGAGACGTGACAATTCTATGGTGTGGGTTTTTTTTTCCTCCAATCTGCTCAGAAAACGGCCATGGTGGATGTCAAATGCATTGACCATTCACGATCGCCATTCATGTCCACCGTTCACCGCGATCAAACTTTCTGAAGAGCAAGACCACAAAGAAGACTCCTTTTTCTTCCTTGACAGCCCTTCGAGAGCAGCTGTATTTCACTCATTTCAATGCTCGTGTCCCCGTGCTCGCACTAAAATAGCACATTTGGGAAAAAAAGCAATATAATGACTCTCGGATCGTTCACCCTCGCAAGGATTCATTATCTAAATGTACTGATCCAAGCTGCCAGTTTAATGTGACGTGAGTGGCCTTTTTATTGGTAAATCAGATTTCATTAGCGGAGTAGCCGGGGTGTCAGACAGAGCGAGCTTGGCAAGTCTGCTGACTTGGCTGAAGTAATGTTAATGGAGACAAAAAAAAAAAAAAAAACATTCAAAACATCTTGCAACTATCCAGTCGAGAGGCAATCAGCTCAGGGCTAATCCTCCGCACGCCAAGTGTTGATTGGCGGCATCCAGCTGACGGAGTACGTTTTCATGAGAAGAACGGTACAGCAGATGGAAAGACATGCAGTGTATCAACACAAATTACTGGCAGTAAACACATTTTTAAAGTGCTAATTGTTGCGTGGATTTAAAAAAATAAAATAAAAATAAAAATAAAAAGCAGAATTACATGTCCGTCCATCCAATATGAGATCCGCTTATCCTAACAGATTTTTTAAAATGTAATTAATTTGTATGCAAATTTGTCTGTTTTTGGCAAGTTTTCCATTTTTTTTCTAATGTCTCGTTAGCCATTAATTCCCATTTGCGACTTTGTTCCATATTTTCAAAAACACCCTGCAAAATTTCCCATGGGCAGCTTTTGTTTGTTTCACGACACAGGACGCAAAATTGTTTTGCCTTTGAAAGGCTAGCATTGCAAGTTCTAGTAACCATTCGGCACAATTATTAAAATGGCTTGAGAAATTCATGTCGTGCATTTAATTCTCGAACAGCTGTCGAAATTGACATTCAGCTTCACAACTACTGTATGAGGGAATCCGTGGAGCGGATGCATACCACCGCCTCTCATCCGTGGAGCCAAAACTTTGTAGGCAAACACGGTGCAGCTCAGGGGTGGCCAAACTTTTTCATTTGAGGGCCGCATCCAGAAAAATGGGAGCATGAAAGGGCCACTTAAAAATTCTTCAACTTTTTGAAACACGTCGGTCAAGAAAGCAATTCTACATTTGTAGTGTCGTGTTCATTTCATCAGTTTTCTGTTAAAGGTGTGAAGGAGAATAGATTTTGGGGGTGGCCAACAGCCCTTGATCTCACAGAATAGATCCAGCTCTGCACTTGACAGAGGCCGAATCCCATCTCCATATTCAGAACCAAAACAGGAACAAACTGTAGTAAGTTGACCATTTTTCACTTCCAGTACTTCATCAATCAGCCATAGAGCAAAAAGTGGAAGGAATTAGAGGGTGGCCGTGGAGCAGCAGTATCAAGTTCCAGGCATTGCAGTGTTAATTAAGCTGCAGTAATATTTGTTGTTCTTTGGAGAAGATAAAGAATATATGCCTGCAAGTATGGCTATATTATCTGTCCAAATGTGTAGCTCCAGCGTTTGCATTCCAATATCGGCTGCTTAAACTAGGTAGGGTACCAAATTATGGTTTTTTTCTTGGGGGGGGGGGTACCATAAGACCCCTAATGTGCAGCTTTCTGGACACTCAAGGCCACTGCACATTTGTCATACAAAAACACCTCAAAACAGCACTTCTTGCCAACATGTGTGACAAAACAAAACGTCTTACCTTTCCAACATAGAGCGGCTCCGTGCCGGTGTACTCCTCCACCACAAAGAACTGATTCCACACCCATCCTCGCTTCACTCGCTCCACGGATGAGGCTCCTTGCTCGCCCCTGCTGGAAGCGCTAGTCCTTGCGGCATCACACCAGCAGCTCAAAAAACCCGATGCTGCCAACAACGTCCAGGCCCGTACAGGCCAGAGATGAGCCATGTCGAATGATTGGAAACACAAGAAAACGAAAAGAAAAGTCCAGCAGCGGTCCACATGTAATTTAAAAAAAAACAACAACAACAAAAGAGAGGGAGAACGCCCACGTTGCAACGAGGTGAATATCAATCCATTGGATCAAAGATGGTCAGTTAAATGCTGGATGATGGTTAACAGGCCATTTTAGATTCCTGCCAAGGCGTATACTCGAATCCAATCATTGAAATGCCTTTAAAAAGTCCACCTTCTGCCTCCCATGTGGTTTCAATGCATGCTGTCCAAAAAGTACACTTCCTGTAGGATAAAGCGTTCGGTAATCAAACGTCTCTCGCCTGGTCCATCGGTGACTCCAAGAAAGGACAAACCTGTGAGAGAGAAAACACAACGGATTAGCGTGCTTCTCTGGTTACTGTCAGACAGTTATTGCCAACTATGTTGACGTCAGGGGAGGAGCTTCATTTGGTCAGGCCATCGTTTTGTCGAATCAGAAGAAAAAAGATCATTATTTGTTGGCATTTTGTGGCATCTAGAGGCAATTAGAAACTTTTTCTGGGTGCACGTCAATTACTTGCAGATTTTTACTATTCGCGTCATGGGATACTGTTTAAGCAGTGTTGGGTAACAATGGAGTCCTAGTACAACAAAATGGCCGACACAAATCAAAATGGGTGACCTTCTGTTCAATTTCAGACATTTGGCTGTGTCAAATTTTCGGGCTCCTCACCTGAATCCAATAAAACCAGACACACTTAGTCTCCAGTGTCATTTGCCACTCGGAACAATGAGCTTAGAGCCAGAGGTCACTATTCCACTCTTTGTGCGTCACCTTTCTGTCGGGCCGACAGAGCGAGCCTCCGACCTCCAACAGCTGATTATTTGCATGAGGGAGCACTAATTGGATGCAAGTATTAATCAATTCATTCAATCCAATGAGGCAACAAGCGCCTAATACCTCAGACAAACACTGGAGCGCTCCAGGATGAGGATTGGTGGGTGGGGGGTGGGGGAGATGTTCTTTGTGGTTCAGCAGACCCAAGGCGGTAAGCAACGGAAATAGGCAGGAAGAAAGCAAACATGAAAGTCTCAAAGCGGAAATGAGGGGTTGCCGTGTTACGTGCGACCTGGGTGTGATTAATGGCTTTCAAAAGAATTTTCTTTTTTTTTTTTAATCTCAAACTAAACTTGAAGTTTTCTTTGGTCTCACAATCCCAAGAGAAGATGACGGCAAGAAGAAACTCCGACGGGGCGGCAGACGGCTTAACCTATTGTATTTGTGTCCTGTCGAGGGGACGTCTATAATCACACTCTCTTCCTGCCTGTGCCCTGCAGCTTCCGGAATTAATTCCTTCTCAGGCTGTTGGTGGAGGCAATGCCCATGTTATTGGAAAGCAACCGTGCGGCAGTCTCAAATCCCCTGAAGCAAACAACCACGGGAGCAAGTCAACCAGTCTCGCTTCTCTTTGCTCACCTGCTCGAGACGATGTGTCCAAAATGTTCATGCACTTCGGTCGGATTTGTACAGTCCGGCCATTATTGTGTTAAGTTGCTACGCAGGAAGCAAATGAATACGCAACATGCATTGTTGAGTGTCATGATGGCTCCTACCCTGCTCGCTTTGATATTTGACTTCAACAGCTTGATTTACGTATCCTGGAAAGTGGAAGGATGTACGAGAACTTTGGATTATTCTGTAGTTATCGGGTGCAATTGCAACATGCAGTTACCTAGCAAGCATTTCCATCCATCCGTCCATCCATCCCTCTTTCCATTTGCAACGCTTCTTATCTTGAAGAGGGTCGCAGGGATTACTGGAGCCTACGCCAGCTGACTTCGGTTGCCAGTCAGTCGCAGTGGACATATAGAGACCAACAACCATACACACCCACGTTCACACCATCACGGAGTGGGAACTGATCCCATGCCGCCCGCACAAGTTAGGTGTTAGTTAATGTACCACAACACCATCAGCGACAGCGAGCAACGCTCACGCTGAAAATGCATTTTCCCTTTGAAGAGTCGACTGGTGTGGCCGTTTCAGAGCATTTCATTGTTGCCCTTGAGTGTGCGCACGTTACACGGGTACGGTAACCGTAGAATGGATTCGTGTTGACACCCAGAGTGTTGACAGGGGCTTCTGGCTGACGTGTTTGCTTTACCGCATGCCGGTGTCGTGCCATGGAAAAGCCCCACGACGACATGGAAGGATCTATTTCAGCCGCTGGAGGCTTTGGGCAGATTTATTTGCGCAGCTCCAACAGTAGTTACGTGGAGGCAAAATAAAGATGTGAAACAAAGTAGCTCCGTTGGCAAACATTGCTGTAGATGTACGCTAAGAAGCGACAGCATGCAGACAATGTGCATTCTCTCTCCTGTTTTCCAGTGTCCTGCCCAGCTGGATCTTGGCTGTGACAGCAGCGGAGGCGGGAGAATGTGACCCGTGTTGCTCTCTTAGCCACGGCATTGCCGAGAGCCACGCCACACTGCAGAGATGGCAGACTATCATGCTCCCCCCCCCCCCTCCTCATCATCATCATCGTCCTCCACCGAGGCGGAACAGCATTCCTCCGTAGCGGTCGGGGCCAACCCCCATTGATATGTTAACGAGGAACGTCCAATATGCATGACTCCTTTCACTCCGCTGCTCCGCTTAAATTGATCCCAAATACTTCGTTTCAAGTTTCCAATTAGAAATGATCCAGTCGTGAAGTGGAAACTTCAAAGCCATACAACACGCGCCGTCATGTTTATCCCGCGCTGCCTCCGAGGCAAACGGCGTCAGGAGGACGAAATTAATTCATTTTGCCGATCTGCTGCTCGTTTTTTTTTTTTTTTTTTTTTACAGTAGATGACTTAACAGTGGAGGCAGGCAGTTTCAATGTGTTTAATTAGAGAGCATTTGTATCAAACATATTCTCGCCCGCACTAGCGGCCCATAAGTTAGTTGATTTGCAAAGCAAAACATTTTTTGAGCCACCGAGCGCTCGCTATCTGAAAACAAAACTCACCCAATGGCTCTCTCTCTTCTTCTGTTCTGCCTCCCCAATTAGGGAATATCATTTGGTGTGTACACATTT